GGACTAGCAGCTATTGCACGTGACGATCTAAACACCGAGTGACGGGCGAAAATAGATTTAGTCTGTCGCTTGGTATGAACTGTCCGCATCGACAGCTGAGGAGCAAATCTCAACCCCGCTTTCCGGTTGTGTCACAATCGCGCCAAGCAAGAAACGGTTGAAGCAGAACTCGAAAACCTTGTAACAGGAAGGAAAAAAAAAATGGTGCTACTATTTTCGAAACAAGTGTGGCATAGCGATATGTTTCAAAATGCTAAACATCCGGGCAATTATTTCCGCCACTGTAGCTCGCTTGATTGTTACAGCGCTGGCCGTCGATGTCGTCGAATCTTGACAGCTCCACTTGGGTAGTCGTCGCCACTGGCCACTCCATTTTATGCGACAGTCGTCCGTCCGCCAGTTAATGCTCGGGTTGTATTCGTGCAGCCAATCGCGTCCCAGCAACATGTCGAAGTCGCCCAAAGTTGTCGCCAGCATCTTCGTCGTGAAGCTGAAATTTTCGCAGCATGTTACTCGCACGTGAGGTACTCACTCCCGAATTGCCAGTGGCGTGCCGTCGACCAATCGTGCGTCGATTTCAGGCATGCAGCGCTCCAATTGCAGTCGCAATTTTTTCGCCTTCGTCACATCCATCAAATTGAGGCTCGCCCCGCCATCAACAAATATTTTGATGCGGGTGTCGCCAACTCTCCCTTCAACCAGCACAGGGCGATCAACCGGTTCACCCCCCTTATTCAGTCAGGAATGGTCGATAGCCCAAATCGGCACTATAACCTGGTGGGGGTGGTGGCATTTGGGCGACGCAGTTAAGTCAGTAGGTGGCCCATCTGCTACTGACAATCTCCATTTCCCGACTGCTTCTTGTCGTTAGGTGAGTTCTTCTTCAGCTGCGGGCAGTCCCTCACCATGTGACCCGGCTGGTTGCAGTGGAAGCAGGTCCCCGAAAATACTCGGGCTGCAAAACATCCACGCCATTGATTGATGTGTTGTGGGGCTGGCCTCGAAAGCGATTTCCCTCCCGGAAACCCGCTCTAGCGAGTCCACGTCGTGCGTCCAGCGCGTCTGCTATGCGAACGGTCTCGTTGAAGGTCGTCAGGGCTCGCAGGACAATCTCTTGCTGAATTTCTGGGTTGAGACCACCTACGTAGCGATCGATTTTCTCGTCCTCGCTAATCCCCTCGACTTGGTCATAGATTGCCAGAAACGACGCCGTGTATTCTTGGACAGCGCCCCACTGTCCCCACATCCGAAGCTTTGTATGAGCATTTTCGCGCATGGATATGTGCTCGAATCTGCCCTTCAACGCTTCGCCCCACGCTTTCCACGTGCGGATCGTGACAGATCCTAAGTTTGGTTCTGCCTTCGCCGTTGATGAACTCATCTCCCCATCTGCCGCCCGTTGATTCCCTGCCGGGGCTCCTCCCTCGTCTAGATTCATGCGCCACCAGTCGAGTGCCGGTCCCCGCAGCGACACAGCCAAGTTGACACGTGATGCATTGTCATTAATACTTGCTGCCGTGAAGAAGATTTCCATGGCGAACAGCCACCCGCTCAGTGTAGTTGTCCTGTCGGTCGGGTTGAACGGTGGGGCATCGGAAGCTTGATTTTAATGGCCGCCCGCGGCTCGCTGTGGACTTCTTCAATAGCTTCAGGTGTCGCCGATGCCCTCGCTTTGCTCGCATCATCGTCGTCTCAGGTAACAGGCCGCCCCTGACGCGTTTCACCCCACGTCTGGCGAAGTGACGAGTTTTCGTTGCGCAGCGTCTGAACTTCGCTTCCCAGCGACTCGAACTTGTCCGCGAGTTGTTGAAGCTGGGCCTGCAGTGTCGTCACTGTAGCCGCCCTAGCTTGCAACTCGTCAAACTCCTCCTGAGTCACGTTCCTAATACTGCGACGGGCAGAGGTTTCCGGCGTGCTAGTCATGCTGGAAATTTTACCTGACAGATCTGAGGGTGCACACGCTTTTAGTTGGAGGAGCTTTAACGAGCTCGCCTACCAACTGCTGGCCAACCCTCTATTCTGTCGGGTCCTCTCCCGATATAATCAGACTACTCTACGGAAGACTAAGCGGGCAGGAACGAGGCTCTGATACCAGCTGTTATGCATTTTATCAGAGCAATAACATGTAGTGTAATAAAGGAGTCGTGATTCAAGAGTGTCGATACAAATGAGGGCCTAGGCGTTTATAGGCACGAACAGAGCTAGCCGAGAACCACGCGAACAGGTTGGAGCGATTCGGTTGGCGAAAGCCATGGAAGCGCTGCGCGTCGAGGTTTGGGTTCGGGAAGTGGTTCGGGACTTCCTAGATTCGAGGGCGAACGCGGTGTAGTCTAGCCCAGTAAGGAAAACGGAATTTCCTTACAGAAGCGTAACAGCCCCAATGCAGCCAAATTCCACAGCAGACGCAATTTTGAGCTCGATTCACGAATGTCTCGCAGCCACCAATTTCGACATTCACAAACTTACGAGAGACAAGCTAATCTCCGCGAATCACGGCATCCGACTCCCCGCGCCGAGAATGGTGCTTGCCCTTCCCCGCAATCTCTCCGCGTCCCCTCACCTCCACCTCCCAATCCGCCGGACTGCCACGTGTCAGGCCCTCCTTTCTCGCCGAGGCGTCCCTCCTACGGCCTCTCTCGTCGTTAAGGTTCCTGCAGAAAACACTTCCGCTAAGGCTGCCGGGATCAGCGCAACAGTCGGTTTCACAGCGTCGCGTGTTTTCGGGTTACCCGATTCGCGCGCTCTGCTTGCGCCGCAGCGCGCTACAGCCGGCGCGGGCTCGCGTACCGCTGGTGGTGGCGGCGCGTTGGTGGTGAGAATGGTGCTCACGGAGTCGCAGCCGCTCGCTTTAGGCACACGCGCGCCGGATTTCACGGTAAGTGACTTTGCGAAGTGAGGCTACTACTCATGAATTTCAAGCGTTATAACATTGTAGTGATGTACTTCAGCTTCTGGCTGCATACGAGTTTTCACCCTCAATGCATGTATCAATACATGTGCGTGACTATACATGTGCCTGACTGTACATGCGTCTGACTGTACATGTGCGTGACTGTACATGCGTGTGACTGTACATGCGTGTGACTATACATGCGTGTGACTGTAAATGCGTGTGACTGTACCAGCTCGTGGAGCCTCTGACTGGGAAGACATGGTCCCTATCGGACTTCGACGGCCACCCCGCCTTGCTGGTAAGCTCACCAAACAAAACTTGCATGCTAGGTTCAATAGTGCCAGCTTCCATGAAAGTCCGAGGGAGCACCATTTCGGCGCCATGACTGATGTAGATAGTGCCAGCTCCCATTATTTTCTGATGTTTGATAGTTTTACCAGTGTCTCGCTGCTTTGCTCCTGCCGCCCCTCTCCTTTTCTCCCCTCCGTGTCTTTTAAGTCGACTAAAAATACACCTCCCCTTCCCCCTCTCCCCCCCATACACTTGCAGGTCATGTTCATCTGCAATCATTGCCCCTTCGTTGTTCACATCAAGTCTCAGCTTGTTGCTCTCGGCAGCGAATACATCTCCAAGGTACAATTGGCAATGAGTAAAATAAGCAGTGGGCAAAGGGGCCATTCACCCCTTCCCTTCGTGGCGCATATCAAGTCTCAGCTTGTTGCTGTACGCTGTCTCAGGCGCATCCAATCGTCCCAAGAGAGGAAGGGTGCAATCAGATGACTTTTGAGTCGACTCAAAAGCAATCACCCACCCCTCTTTTCTCTTCCCCAACCGTTTCCCCCTCCCTCCCTCCTCCCTCCCTCCCTCCCTCCCTCCCTCCCTCCCTCCCTCCCTCCCTCCCTCCCTCCCTCCCCCCCTTTCTCGACCCCTTTCTCGACCCTTCAACCCCTCTTCCCAGCCCCCTCCCTCTCCCCTTCTCCGACTGTCCTTCCGCACACTACTTCCCCCTCCCTCTCCCCTTCTCCGACTGTCCTTCTGCACACTACTTCCCCCTTCCTCAACCCTATCGCCTGGTCCGCCTTTCTTTCCCCAAACACCCCCCATCACTTGCTTCTCTCCCCTTCTTTCCCCTTCCAACCCCCCTCCCCACCCCTCCCCCTTCTTTCCTTCCACACACCCCTCCCCCGTTCTTTGCAGCATGGGCTGGGAGTGGTTGCAATCTCGGCAAATTCGGCCCTGACCCACCCCCAGGTATGTACTGTAACACGTTACAAGGAGGGTCCTGGTAACCAGTAGGTGCTACCGTGTTGGCGGTCCGCACTCTTGTCTCCCCTCCTCCTCCTCCTCCTCCTCCTCCTCCTCCTCGCTGCAGCATGGGCTGTGCTGTGACTCTGAGTGGTTGCAATCTCGGTCAGTTCACCCCTGACCCACGTTCAAGCAGGTCAAAGATTCTCTCAGTGTATAATCTTTGACCCACCTTCTAGTAGGTCACGTGATTTCTAGTAGCTGGGCTGTGACTCTGACATAATCCGTGTGATGTTAGTTTCGTTATGAGTTGACTCAAAACGAAACTTATATCACACGGATCAATCTAGGCCAAGTAAGCCGTGACGCACCTTCTAGTAGGTCACGTGATTTCATGTCAAAAGTATATCGTCCGAAAAGCTATTCGATGCAGGATATTTGCGCAGTATGCTGTAGCCTCGTTTCCTTGGTCCCACCTAGGAGAGAGAGGCCTAGGAAACGTGGCTACAGTCTATTGGTCCCACGTTTCCTTGCGCAGTGTGCTGTAGCCACGTTTCCAGGTTTGCTCCTGAGGTGCCTCAAAAATAACCTGTAGCCACGTTTCCTTGGTCCCTCCTGTGGCTCCATTCTGGGAGTGTCTCCAGGCCCCACGTGTGTACTTCCGCCCATTTCTTTCCTCGGACTTATTTTGAGTCACCCAGGAAAGACCTGTGGTTCGACTCTCTAAGAGTGTCTCCAGTGGAGTTATTTTTTAGAATTCTAAGCAATGGTCCCACGTGCGTACTTCTTCCCATTCCTCTTAACAGGACGGACCAGAAAAGATAGCAGGGGCCTCTGAGCAGTTTAATTTCCCCTTCAATTCCTCTAAGGGCTGTGAATCGACTCAACAGTCTTCTGCTGCTCTCTCTGCAACCCCTCTGCTTCACCCTTCTCACCCAACCACAGGACGGACCCTACAAGATGGCAGAGGAAGCTAAGCAGTTCAACTTCCCCTTCCCGTATCTGTATGACGAGGTGCGTCCCAGGCGTTGGTACTCACAATACCAAGTTCAACTTCCCGTTCCCCTATCTCACACATGTGCATCTATCTCTATGATGAGGTGGATATTTTTGAGGCGCCTCAAAAATAGACTATCTCTATGATGAGGTGGATGCATGCACATGTGTTAGTCCCAGGCGTCGGCCCCATGCGGCCACCCGTGCACCTGTGGTGAGGTGCGTCCCATGTGTCTGTCCTCACTATAAGCAGTTCTACTTTCCCTTTCCCGACCTCTATGATGAGATGGGTGCTCATGCTTTTGTACTCACAATAAGCAGTTCAACACCCAAGGTACATGCCTCACCCCAAGGTGCTCTCTCGCCCCTTCTCTCTCTCCTCCCATCTCCATTCTCTCACCACTTCTCTCATCTCCCATCTCCCTTCTCCCGCCCCACAGTCTCAAGAAGTGGCCAAGGTGTATCAAGCCACCTGCGCGCCGCGCCCGACTTCTCTCTCTCTCTTAAAAAAGGACGGCCGGCGCTTCTTCGAGCTGGCCTACCACAGGCAGTTGGAAATATTCTTCCCTTCTCAAACACCCCCACCCCCCACCTCCTCCCCTTCTCCCCTCCTCCCCTCCTCCCCTCCTCCCCTCCTCCCTATGACCAGACGCAAGAGGTGGCCAAGGCCTACCAAGCTGCCTGCACGCCTGACTTCTTCCTCTTCAAAAAGGACGGCCGCCGCCCATTCGAGCTCGCATACCACGGCCAGCTGGACGACTCCCGGCCCTCCAATGGGCGCCCGGTAACCGGCAAGGACCTTCGTAACGCTCTGGACTGCGTGCTGTCAGGGAGAGCTGTTACCGCCCCTCAGAAGCGCAGGTAGGGGTGATTGCATTAGCCGTCATTGCGCAGGTAGGGGTGATTGCATTAGCCGTCACAAGCCCAGGGCGTCTACTGGGAGGGAGGCTGGTAACCGGCAAGGACCTCCGTAATGCTCTGGACTGCGTGCTGTCAGGGAGGGCCGTTACTGCTCCGCGGAAACGCAGGTAGGAGTGATTGAGTTTAGCCGTCACAAGCAGTGCCCTCTAATGGCCGGCCCGGTAACTGGCAAGGACCTCCGTAACGCTGTGGATCGTGTTGTCTCAGGGAGGGCTGGTACGGCCCCTCAGAAGCGCAGGTAGGTGAATTCAGCTTGTATTCAGCTATTCAACTGTTACACGCCTCAGCCCTCCAATGAGCGGCTATTAACAGCCAAGGTCCTCCATAAGTCTCTGGAGTGTGTTTTGACAGGGAGAGCTGTCACGGCCCCTCCCTCAGAGACACAGGTATGGTTGGTGTGTGGGGTTAGCTCACAGGAAATTTTGGGCAATGGGAACCAGCAAGGACCCCATAACGCTCTGGGTTGCGTTCTTTCAGGGGGAGAGCTGTTACTGCCCCTCAGAAACGCAGGTTCATATACATATGTTGTTTTTGTTGGCTGGGGTCGATCACTGGTAACTGCCATGGACATCCGTGAAACTCGGAATTGCATGCTGTCAAGCGAGAGCCTAATTCTGAGGCGCCTTAAAAGTAAACTCAGGATTGTGCGGTGTCAGGAGAGGAGTTCCTGGACCTCAAAAGGGGTCTACTCTGCCAATCTTTGAAGAAGTTCATTTTATAGGCCTCTCAAAAATAGAGTTCCTGGACCTCAGAAGGGGTCTACTCTGCCAATCTTTGAAGAAGTTCAATAGGACGATTTTCTGCATTTAGACCCTCTTTATCCCGTCCTGTTGACCCCTCTCGTTTGCTGCTTTTCGTCCGAACCCCTGTTGGATTTGTTTCATTCTCCTTAAACCTCTGTTCCCAACCTCTCCCCCTGGCAGCATTGGCTGCAATATCAAGTGGGCGCCGGGCAACGAACCTGATTATTTCGGCTAGTTGGTGTTTTGTGATACCAAGCAGGAGATGGTATGGTATGGTATGTCTGTAGATACACTACTATGGTACTAGACTGGTACGAGTTGTCGGATACAATACATGACATGTTTAAAGCACATACCCAAGGTAGCAGCCCGACGTGTGATGTGATGCTAGACTAGCACTACAGCATTGGCTTTAGAGAACATACTGCACTGGTGCAGCATCATATGTTGTCGGAACTTTCTACCTCACCAGTATTATCAGCCTGCAATGCAGGTCAGAACTACAGTTGGGCTGTTACCATTGCACACCATTGTATAAACAAGGTATCGGATATGATTTTGCAAGCCGCACGAAGAACCATAGCTGCGAAGGTGGTAATTTGTGTGCCTCTCTGTCCATCAAATTCATCTTAAGTACATGTATAAGCATGTCAAATCACTGTATAGAGCAGGAACGGTAGTTTTGATAATTCTACAAAATACCATCAGACGCATATTTCATATACTGTATGTATAAGCTTGTCAAATATCACTGTCTAGAGTAGGGACCGGTAGTGGCCATTGTCGTCGCAAGCAATGCACCCGTGCCACTGCTGCCATGTAGTCTGAAGATCTGAGGAGGAGGATAGGGTGAGGAAAAGTAAGAGGAAAGGTGAAGGGGGGGAGGCGGGAAGAGGGGTGGGAGGGTTGTGAGGCGGAATCCAAGCAGTGCACTCGTGTCACTGCTGCCAGGTAGTCTGAAGATCTGAGGGAATAGGGTGAAAGAACGAGGAAGGGGGAGATTGGGAAAGGGGGAGATGGGGAATGGGGGAGATGGGGAAAGGGGGGAGATTGGGAAAGGGGGGAGATGGGGAAATGGGGAGATGGGGAAAGGGGGGAGATAGGGAAAGGGGGAGATGGGGAAGGGGGAGATGGGGAAAGGGGGGAGATGGGGAAGGGGGAGATGGGGAAAGGGGGGAGATGGGGAAAGGGGGGAGATGGGGAAAGGGGGGAGATGGGGAAAGGGGGAGATGGGGAAAGGGGGGAGATGGGGAAAGGGGGAGATGGAGGAAGGGGGGAATGGGGAAGGGGGGAGATGGGGAAAGGGGGAGAGATGGGGGAAGGGGGGAGATGGGGAAATGGGGGAGATGGGGAAGGGGGAGATGGGGAAATGGGGGAGATGGGGAAAGGGGGGAGATGGGGGAAGGGGGAGATGGGGAAATGGGGGAGATGGGGAAAGGGGGGAGATGGGGAAAGGGGGGAGATGGGGAAAGGGGGGAGATGGGGAAAGGGGGGAGATGGGGAAAGGGGGGAGATGGGGAAAGGGGGAGATGGGGAAAGGGGGGAGATGGGGAAAGGGGGGAGATGGGGAAAGGGGGGAGATGGGGAAAGGGGGGAGATGGGGAAAGGGGGGAGATGGGGAAAGGGGAGATGGGGGAAGGGGGGAGATGGGGAAAGGGGGGAGATGGGGAAGGGGGGAGACGGGGAAGGGGGAGCTGGGGAAATGGGGGAGATGGGGAAAGGGGGAGATGGGGAAAGGGGGGAGATGGGGAAAGGGGGAGATGGGGAAAGGGGGAGATGGGGAAAGGGGGAGATGGGGAAAGGGGGAGATGGGGAAAGGGGGGAGATGGGGAAAGGGGGGAGATGGGGAAAGGGGGGAGATGGGGAAAGGGGGGAGATGGGGAAAGGGGGGAGATGGGGAAAGGGGGGAGATGGGGGAAAGGGGGGAGATGGGGAAAGGGGGGAGATGGGAAAGGGGAGATGGGAAAGGGGGAGATGGGGAAAGGGGGAGATGGGGAAAGGGGGGAGATGGGGAAAGGGGGAGATGGGGAAAGGGGGAGATGGGGAAAGGGGGGAGATGGGGAAAGGGGGGAGATGGGGAAAGGGGGAGATGGGGAAAGGGGGGAGATGGGGAAAGGGGGGAGATGGGGAAAGGGGGGAGATGGGGAAAGGGGGGAGATGGGGAAAGGGGGGAGATGGGGAAAGGGGGAGATGGGGAAAGGGGGAGATGGGGAAAGGGGGAGATGGGGAAAGGGGGGAGATGGGGAAAGGGGGGAGATGGGAAAGGGGGGAGATGGGGAAAGGGGGGAGATGGGGAAAGGGGGGAGATGGGGAAAGGGGGAGATGGGGAAAGGGGGGAGATGGGGAAAGGGGGGAGATGGGGAAAGGGGGAGATGGGGAAAGGGGGAGATGGGGAAAGGGGGGAGATGGGGAAAGGGGGAGATGGGGAAAGGGGGAGATGGGGAAAGGGGGGAGATGGGGAAAAGGGGGAGATGGGGAAAGGGGGAGATGGGGAAAGGGGGAGATGGGGAAAGGGGGAGATGGGGAAAGGGGGGAGATGGGGAAAGGGGGGAGATGGGGAAAGGGGGGAGATGGGGAAAGGGGGAGATGGGGAAAGGGGGGAGATGGGGAAAGGGGGGAGATGGGGAAAGGGGGAGATGGGAAAGGGGGAGATGGGGAAAGGGGGAGATGGGGAAAAGGGGGAGATGGGGAAAGGGGGGAGATGGGGAAAGGGGGGAGATGGGGAAAGGGGGAGATGGGGAAAGGGGGGAGATGGGGAAAGGGGGGAGATGGGGAAAGGGGGGAGATGGGGAAAGGGGGGAGATGGGGAAAGGGGGAGATGGGGAAAGGGGGGAGATGGGGAAAGGGGGGAGATGGGGAAAGGGGGGAGATGGGGAAAGGGGGAGATGGGGAAAGGGGGAGATGGGGAAAGGGGGGAGATTGGGAAAGGGGGGAGATGGGGAAAGGGGGAGATGGGGGACGGTGTGAGCGGATTGTGAGGCGGAATCCAAGCAGTGCACTCATGCCACCGCTGCCAGGTAGTCTGATAAGAGGAGGGGCAGCAAGCAGGGACGGAGAGGAGGGGCAGTCATTGCCGTCTCACGCGGGCATCCGTGCCACTGCTGCTGCCAGGTAGACTGGATAGTGGGGTAGAATATGGTTGAAAGGGGACGAATCCAGAAGGGGTGGTTGTACTGGTTCAGCTGACTACGCTGCTAAAACCAGCGGCCCAAATTGCAAGCCGCCCCGTTTTCAAACGCAGAGCGTTTGAACTTGGACGAACACTGCCGCATAACCAAGCTTGGGTTGGCGACTGCCAACTTTCAAGTTGAAGGTGGGCTGCGTTTTGGAACTGAGCAGCGCCACTTTGTTGTCGAAATGCAATCTTAACCGTCGAAACTGTTTCTGCCAGATCTGACGGTGTGCGAAGCACCAAATGCATGCCACGAGAAGCCACACTCGCGATTTTCTGACTGTTTCGCTAAAACTGTAGCTCATAGTTCCATACGCAGTGCGTATAAACCATTTGGACTCTGCTGCTAAAGGGCATACAGACAAACCAGTGAAACTGGTGCGATGCCATTTAACCTATCCATGACACGAAGAAAATGGAGCGTAAATTTACGTGATTTATCGATGCCTTTTTGTACGAATGTTACATGCAGCAACCTACCAAAAGCTGCACCATTGTTACCTGCATGCGTATTCTGTTGCTGCTGCTGATTGCATGTATTTCCGGCTTGTTGCTCATCGCCCTGAGGCAAGGGAGAGGGTAGGGAGAGAGAGGGTAGGGAGAGAGAGGTAGGGCGAGAGAGGGTAGGGAGAGAGAGGGTAGGGAGAGCAGGGGTAGGAGAGAGAGGTTGGGGGAGAGAGGGTAGGGGGAGAGAGGATAGACAGAGAAGGGTAGGCGAGAGAGAGGGTATGGCGAGAGAGGGTAGGGAGGAGAGAGGGAAGGGCGAGAAAGGGTAGGGCACGAGAGAGCGAGATGAGACCTCAGAGAAGAGCTCGACATAGAAGGCAACCCACGCCAACAAACAAACAAATTTATGGGCCTATGAATCTACCCGCATATGGCCCTCCGCCTCTTACAACGATCTCAAAGAAAAGAGGTCGGCATGGAGCCGTGCATAGAAGGCTGATGAGCTCGCCGAAACACGTGAACGGGCCCATGCAGCTACCCACCCTATGCATCCATCAGCGCATGGCACACCCACTCTTGTGCTCACCACGATTTCAAAGAAGAGGCCGGCATAGAGCCGCACATAGAAGGCTGATGCTGACTGAAGAAACCATGTATGGTCATAAGCACCTATCACCCCATAGCACATAGACTCATCCCATGGCACATAGACTCATCCATGGCACATAGACTCATCCCATGGCACGTAGACTCATCCCATGGCGCGTTAGACTCATCCCATGGCACATAGACTCATCCCATGGCACATAGACTCATCCCATGGCACATAGACTCATCCCATGGCACGTAGACTCAACCCCATGGCACATAGACTCATCCCATGGCACATAGACTCATCCCATGGCACGTAGACTCATCCCATGGCACATAGACTCAACCCATGGCACATAGACTCATCCCATGGCACATAGACTCATCCCATGGCACGTAGACTCATCCCATGGCACGTAGACTCATCCCATGGCACATAGACTCATCCCATGGCACATAGACTCATCCCATGGCACGTAGACTCAACCTATGGCACATAGACTCATCCCATGGCACATAGACTCATCCCATGGCACATAGACTCATCCCATGGCCACAAAGACTCATCCCACGGCACGTAGACTCAACCCATGGCACATAGACTCATCCCATGGCACATAGACTCATCCCATGGCACAGAGACTCACCCCATGGCACATAGACTCATCCCATGGCACATAGACTCATCCCATGGCACAAAGACTCATCCCATGGCACGTAGACTCAACCCATGGCACATAGACTCATCCCATGGCACATAGACTCATCCCATGGCACATAGACTCATCCCATGGCACGTAGACTCATCCCATGGCACGTAGACCCATCCCATGGCACATAGACTCATCCCATGGCACGTAGACTCAACCCATGGCACAAAGACTCATCCCATGGCACATAGACTCATCCCATGGCACATAGACTCATCCCATGGCACAAAGACTCATCCCACGGCACGTAGACTCAACCCATGGCACATAGACTCATCCCATGGCACATAGACTCACCCCATGGCACATAGACTCATCCCATGGCACAAAGACTCATCCCATGGCACGTAGACTCAACCCATGGCACATAGACTCATCCCATGGCACATAGACTCATCCCATGGCACATAGAATCACCCCATGGCACATAGACTCATCCCATGGCACATAGACTCATCCCATGGCACATAGACTCACCCCATGGCACATAGACTCATCCCATGGCACATAGACTCATCCCATGGCACATAGACTCATCCCATGGCACGTAGACTCATCCCATGGCACGTAGACCCATCCCATGGCACATAGACTCATCCCATGGCACGTAGACTCAACCCATGGCACAAAGACTCATCCCATGGCACGTAGACTCAACCCATGGCACATAGACTCATCCCATGGCACATAGACTCATCCCATGGCACATAGACTCATCCCATGGCACAAAGACTCATCCCACGGCACGTAGACTCAACCCATGGCACATAGACTCATCCCATGGCACATAGACTCATCCCATGGCACATAGACTCATCCCATGGCACAAAGACTCATCCCAGGGCACGTAGACTCAACCCATGGCACATAGACTCATCCCATGGCACATAGACTCATCCCATGGCACATAGACTCACCCCATGGCACATAGACTCATCCCATGGCACATAGACTCATCCCATGGCACATAGACTCACCCCATGGCACATAGACTCATCCCATGGCACATAGACTCATCCCATGGCACAAAGACTCATCCCACCGCACGTAGACTCAACCCATGGCACATAGACTCATCCCATGGCACATAGACTCATCCCATGGCACATAGACTCACCCCATGGCACATAGACTCATCCCATGACACATAGACTCATCCCATGGCACATAGACTCACCCCATGGCACATAGACTCATCCCATGGCACATAGACTCATCCCATGGCACATAGACTCACCCCATGGCACATAGACTCATCCCATGGCACGTAGACTCAACCCATGGCACATAGACTCATCCCATGGCACATAGACTCATCCCATGGCACATAGACTCACCCCATGGCACATAGACTCATCCCATGGCACAAAGACTCATCCCATGGCACGTAGACTCAACCCATGGCACATAGACTCATCCCATGGCACATAGACTCACCCCATGGCACATAGACTCATCCCATGGCACATAGACTCATCCCATGGCACAAAGGCTCATCCCATGGCACGTAGACTCAACCCATGGCACATAGACTCTTGTTCTCACCATGATCTCAAAGAAGAGCCCGACGTATAGCCGCGCATAGAAGGCGGATGACCCTCCCTCGTCATCCCCTGCTGCTGCCAACACCTGCAAACCGGCATGCCATGCCATGTTTTTGCCATGCCCCATGCCGTTTGTTGCTCTCAACATCCTCCCAAGGAAGAGACGCACTTGAAGCGCCTCAAAACTATTCGCCATGCCCCATGTCGTAAAATGAAAGGATGTCAGCACAGCACCAGATTTTTGAGGCGCCTCTAAAATGAATGGATGTCAGCACAGCACCAGATTTTTGAGGCGCCTCTAAAATGAATGGATGTCAGCACAGCACCAGATTTTTGAGGCGCCTCTAAAATGAAAGGATGTCAGCACAGCACCAGATTTTTGAGGCGCCTCTAAAATGAATGGATGTCAGCACAGCACCAGATTTTTGAGGCGCCTCTAAAATGAATGGATGTCAGCACAGCACCAGATTTTTGAGGCGCCTCTAAAATGAATGGATGTCAGCACAGCACCAGATTTTTGAGGCGCCTCTAAAATGAATGGATGTCAGCACAGCACCAGATTTTTTGAGGCGCCTCTAAAATGAATGGATGTCAGCACAGCACCAGATTTTTGAGGCGCCTCTAAAATGAATGGATGTCAGCACAGCACCAGATTTTTGAGGCGCCTCTAAAATGAATGGATGTCAGCACAGCACCAGATTTTTGAGGCGCCTCTAAAATGAATGGATGTCAGCACAGCACCAGATTTTTGAGGCGCCTCTAAAATGAATGGATGTCAGCACAGCACCAGATTTTTGAGGCGCCTCTAAAATGAATGGATGTCAGCACAGCACCAGATTTTTGAGGCGCCTCTAAAATGAATGGATGTCAGCACAGCACCAGTCCCGAGCATTTCTTATGCATAACTCTCTCAACATCTCAAAGAAGAAGAGGAACATGCAGCAGAGGAGAAGGAAGGGAAAATGGGGCTCACCTGCAAGGGGTCAGCTCCAGACTTAAACATGTCGTACGCTGCTCTCAAAACCTTTCCAGGGTCTCGGGGCACCTAGGTAGGCAGAGGGGAGGAGGGGAGCGAAATAAAGGAGGGAGGAAAACATTCGCATAGCCATTCGAAATGAATGGCATTTTGAAACGGCCGTAACAACGAACGGCAAGTGAAATAACAGACGTTGAAGCCTACCTTCTTCGGGCATCTTTCCTCTGGCTGAGATATCTGAGGTGCTTCACAAGTGATTTCGAGTGAATTCATTTTCTAGGCACCTCAAAAGAAGTAGAGCAAAAGATAGAGCAGCCTACCTTCTTCTGGTATGTGTCCTCTGCATGACTTATGAGTTGACTCAAAAGTCGCGTCAAAAGAAGTCAAGCAAAAGGACTGCTCTTGAACTGACTCAAAAGGACCCACAAGCGACTAAAAGAAGTCGCCTCAAAAGAAGTAGAGCAAAAGGCAGTGCAGCCTACCTTCCTCGGGCATGTTTCCTCTGCATCACTTTGAGTTGACTCAAGCGGACTCAAAAGTTGCGTCAAAAGAAGTTAAGCAACAGACGGCGGAGCTTACCTCTGGCATGCTTTCTCTGGCGGAGTCGGCACCGTTGGCTCTGGCTTCAGACACAAAGTACCAGATAGACTGGCGGCAGAGAGAGAAGGATTGCAGAGAGGGAAGGTGTTTCAGAATTCAAACAAATCTGGCCGAGTTGACACCGTTGGCTCTGGCTTCGGACACGAAGCACCAGATAGACTGGCAGCAGAGAGAGAGAGAGAGAGAGAGAGAGAGAGAGAAAAGGATTGGAAAGAGGAAAGGTGTTTTTAAATTATGGCTGGGTCAACACCGTTGGCCCTGGCTTCTGACACAAAGCACCAGAAGGACTGGCAGCAGAGAGAAGAAGATTGCAGAGAGGGAAGGTGTTTCAGAATTCAAACAAATCTGGCCGAGTTGACACTGTTGGCCCTGGCTTCGGACGCAGAGCACCAGATAGAGTGGCGGCAGCAGAGAGAAGCAGATAGCAGAAATGGAAGGTGAGGGGACGGTGGTGATTTTTGAGTTGACTAAAAAATCACCTTCAGTCACAAAGCACCAGATAGACTGGCGGCAGAGCGAAGCAGATTGCAGAGAGGGAAGGTGAGGGGACGGCAGAAGGAGGGGAGGAAGGTGGAAAAGGGAGGGGGGGAGGCGGAGGAATAGAAGGGGCACAACATGGCATTGCATGGCATTGCATGGCATTGCATGGCATTGCATGGCATTGCATGGCATTGCATGGCATTGCATGGCATTGCAGCATTAGCAACACGCGAACAGCATGGCATGGGCATGGGCATGGGCACGGATATGGGCATGGGCATGGGCACGGGTATGGGCATGGGCATGGGCAATGGCTTGGGCGTGGGCAATGGCTTGGGCGTGGGCGTGGGCGTGGGCGTGGGCGTGGGCGTGGGCGTGGGCGTGGGCAATGGCTTGGGCGTGGGCAATGGCTTGGGCGTGGGCATGGGCATGGGCATGGGCATGGGCATGGGCATGGGCATGGGCATGGGCATGGGCGGCATGGGCATGGGCATGGGCATGGGCATGGTCACAGGCATGGGCATGGGCATGGGCATGGGCGGCATGGGCATGGGCATGGGCATGGGCATGGTCACAGGTATGGGCATGGGCATGGGCATGGGCATGGGCATGGGCATGGGCGGCATGGGCATGGGCATGGGCATGGTCACAGTCACAGGTATGGGCATGGGCATGGGCATGGGCAATGGCGTGGGCATGGGCGTGGGCAATGGCGTGGGCGTGGGCAATGCACTAATGAAGAAGGACGCACCTCTTCAGCGTCTCTCGAGTTCGCAGCAATACAGGCACGAAACTGCTGTGAAGCTTCAGCGAACCTGAGACCCCAAGACGGGATGGGACATTGGGAAGTCGTGATATGGTGTCTTGAGATATTTGCTAAGAGGTAAATAAATATTAATGAACAACACAGGCAACACTTTTACTGGGATAACCGGTCACAGATTAAACTATGAATAGACACACACCAGCGCATGCAGCACACTCCAGCCATGCATGCAGCACACTCCACCCATGCATGCAGCACACTCCACCCTTGCATGTGACACACTCCAGCGCATGTGGCACACACCAGCGCATGCGGCACACACACTAGAGAGACACGGGCGAATACAACACACCTGTTGAGGTAGAAGAGTGAGAGGCCCCGTTGCCACAAATCTGCCAGTCAGGTGGTCATGCACGGACAGCGGAAAAAAGCGCACAGATCGAATAAACAAGATAATCGAGTAAGATAGTTAAGTGCAGTGTAGTTATGCTGCTAGTGAAGCCTTGACGCTTCTTATCTGTCGCTTACAGGGAATCTGGGAGGGGTCCAGCTCCAAAGCGGCCTCGAATTCAGCTAGTGACGCCTCCACCTCGTTCTGCGCTCATGATATGTCATGCCATGTCGTGCCATGTCATGCCGTGTCATGCCATGTCATGCCATGTCGTGCCATGTCATGCCATGTTATGCCATGTCATGCCATGTCATACCATGTCATACCATGTGATATCATGGCATACCATGGTGTAGCATGCCATGCCATGCTATATCATTCCAGGGGGGACAATGGGGGGAAAGAGGGGATACAGAAGATTAAAGTATGAGGGGACGAAGCGGAGACGCAAATTGAAGTGGTCATTCTGGGGGAAGAACGAGCAAACAGGCAGCAGGGACGAGAGAGATAGGCGAAAGAGAGAAACCGACAGTTCGTAAATTTCGGAAGAAACATCTGGCAACCTCGATAAATAGCTGCATGCCACGTCGGATGGCGTCGCGTCCCGCCTTCTCCCTCCCTGTACCGCACGCCACGTTAGCATTGGCGGTCGCTGCAGGAATCACCACAGCCCCTCGTCTCCGTCCCACGCCTCCGCCGAGGTGCTTCCCTTTTGGCAGGGTTCCTACTACCAGTAGCAGTAACTCCTGAGAATCTTGTGCCAGTGGCAGATGGATGGCAGTTCCTTCTAACTGCTTTCTTCGCAAGAAGGCACTGACTCCGACTCGTCTCCTCCCCAAACACGAGCCTGCGGACCAGCCTGTCTGCTCCTTAACGCGTACGCTTTCCGAACCACCCGGCGGCTGATGAAGGCGGATCGTGAGATGGCGATTGTTGGAGAGGCGACCAGCGGAGGGAGACAAGCGAATTCTAGAGGTTCTAGAAGCTGCTGGAAAGCAACAGGTTACTGGTACTTTAACTACGGCGCCTGGCATGGCATATGCTGACGAACGAGAAGTGAATGCGGCTTCTCACGGGCGTGATGTTGGAACTTGTAGTACTGAGAGGGGGAATTTCTGAGTTGGAGAGCGGATTCAGCGGCGTGAAATTCGCGGGGAAAGATGGCAGATTGAATACACGGATGCCAGATTCAGTCAACAAGAAACGTCAAGGTTTCGCAACAGGAAAAGCAGAAGTTCAGCAACGACAGGAGGCATCAGCAACTGGCAACAGCATTTCCCAATGGATGCTGCATCAACTGACAAACAATTTACTGGCGACTAGTACTTCAGAATTTCCAGAAGCTCAGAAACTGAAATTCAGAAACCTGAAAGCGAGAATTCCAACGAATGGCTACCAGCCTACCACACAGATATGGCCGAACCAGTTCCTGAAACTCCCAGGCCAGTGCAGCCATCAAGCAGAGAGGTTTGGCGGCCGAATCTGCTAACCAAACCGATAAACCCGTGGTTTGACAATGGTCTGGTTTCACATTGAATGTTTGCTTAGCAGCGAGCGAAGCAAATGCCGAGCCGTACCGGGGCAAGCCTCTCGTTACAGGATGAGTGTGGAGTGCTGTCATTGGATGACAGGTGGCTTGGGGATGAGGTTCAATGGTTGCGATGTGATGCCCCAGCAGCCGAGGGTGCCAAGCACCCAACCTTTGTCGGTGCTTCAATCGGAACAACTGTAATCGGGAACAGGTTCTCAGATAAGAAATCCCATTCTTAGCTCAATTCCACCATAATGCATTTCTGTATCATGTAAGATCTAGAATCTGCAACGCAGTCCCTTAACACGCGGACAAAACAGAGGGTGCCCAACCAAGCCCAAACCAGGGATACAGCCAACCAATCAGCCAGCCTCGTCGCGCCTCGCCTTGATACAAGCGAAGCTCGTCAGAGTCGCACAAGATTTTAGGGTGACGGGAATTCAATCGGTCAAGTATTTCGCATTCCCTCGCCACGGGCAAATGAGGCTTTCGCACGAGCACATGGCGAAATGGGTGGGTATTTATGGGGGGGGCTTGTGTGGCGATGTTTGTTGCCAGTGTGCGACTCTTGTGAAGCGATCAGGCGACGGCGATGCACAGTGCTGTGGCGACGAAACCTCGTCGGCAACGACTTGTCCCTTGCTATATGTTGGTCGCAGACGCAATCATGAGTGACTCAAACAGATCTCCCATTGCCCGTATATCGGGGGTTTTGGGAACGGATTCTGATTGGGCGCCAGGTTGAGCTGCGATAAGGTTGGGCATCGTCTCTATTCCCAAATCATCCCCCACCCCACACAACCAGTATCACCCCAAGTTCTCCGTGTAAGTGTGTGTTCTCCGTGTTCTCCGCGTGTCCTCCCAGTGTTCGCCGTGTGTTCCCCGTACCAGAATGTACGAGGTTTGGAGCAACAATGGTTGGAGCACCACGGGAATCACCCCCCCCCCTCCCTCAGGAGGAGTCAAGTTTCCCCCTAGCTGGATTTCCCCCCACCACCCAGCCAACCAACCAACATCCCTGCTCTGGTGCGGAAATGTCAGCACGTAGGAAATCAATGTCCCCCACCAGTGTCGAGAATCCCCCGCCCCATAGATTCACGTCCCCTCCCTTCCCCCCTATCCCTCCCACCCCATCCCCTCGTCATCTCGGCTCGGCATTCCCTCGGCGACACCCCGAGTCCCCGCCTCGAGTTACCTTTTCTAGAAGCGAGCGGTGCAATCCCAAGGAGTCCCAGGAGCGGTGCAATCCCAAGGTCATCTGCCAACTGAGAGTCTGGGAAACTGTAACCCTGGTCATGCAATCAAGGCGTGCGTCTTACAGTTCCGGAACTTGGGCTGGTTACACCGTTAGAAGCACATTTCGACAGGGCTTCGCGAGCTCCTCCCCGGGCAAAATCTTCGCCAGTTCCAAAACTATTTTCGCAACTTCCAGAAGTAGAACCGTAAGACACACGCCTTCAACCATCCCAAAATTCTCTACCCAACTTCCTATATTCTCAGCACACATTCCTAAATGATAGTTCCTAGGCTAGTACTATTTCCGAGTTGCTCATCACCCAACCACATTCTGCATTCCGTGTGAGAGACATTTTATGTGAGAGTGCGATTCATCCAACTCCACGTGTTCAGCCCAAATTAGGTGGCAAATTGTAACCCCCACGACCCCCACAAGGCACCCTCGGGGTTTCGTGCTGCCGTGTAACCCTGGGGGCACCGAGTAGGTACCCTAAGTGTAACCTACTGTCAAAGTGCCTTTCGTGGTGATCCCATGGGCCACTTGCCTCGCAGCAACACAACCCCCGTCGCACCTCACCTACAGTATATACTTTTACATTCGCCTAAGCCGCAGCCTTGCTTCAAGCAAGGCATTGCTTCAGGATGTGACGACAGAAGATCTGTCGTCACATCCTGAATGGGACTTTCAACCTTCACTCGAAAGCCTCCCCATTTCTGCATCTAGAAACCCACGCAAATGTCATATTTTCGTTCCATTTTGCCCTCCCCTTTCCGCGATGCGACTCGGTAGTCAGTCCGTACACTGATCTCTCATAACTGTTACCGCTCCGAAGGCTTTTCAGTTGACTTGGCGGACAAGGAGCAATCCGATCACATGTTCCAGTCAGTCCCATTATCCGCAATCCCTGCCAAACAAAATATTCCCTCTTAATATCTGAGCGTCGTCAACACAGCATTGACAATGCCCTCGGGTGTCTCCTCACTTCACCTTCCTCCCCTTTGTCCAAGATTAGTAGTAACGTCCCCGCCTAGTACTATTAGGCGAAAATGTAGACCACTCAAAACTGTCCACGTGTACCTCCTGGTTCTGCTCCTGATAGGGGCGCCATCTCCACTCGTTGAAGGATCGTTCATCGACGAACTAGTACCGTTTTTCCAGCGCCTGCGCCCCTCGAGTGACGCAAATGCTCCGGATACAGCCACACCTCCTGTACAATCACCCCCTTGTACAGTTACCTCATGTATAGTCCTCTCCCATTCAGTCATCGGCCCCTGCCTCTGCACCCGGGCCTATAACGTGGTATCCCACTACGTGGAATGATACAGCGTATTCAAATACGCCAGCGGGAACACGGCCTAAGAGCAAACCACCAGCACTATAGGCCCCGGCTCCCTCCCACAGTTTAGCCCTCACCTACACTCAGACGCCCTGCTTAGATGGCAAGGCATGCCAGGGTAATGGCCTGCACACCCTGGGGAATTCAATTGGACGACAGACTCTAGGCAGCAGGCGGTGCTTTTGGGAGCGAAGGCACGAGGGGCGAATGTGTTCGAGGTGTTTTCTAACAGTCCCCCCTGGTGGATGACCGTTAGTAGAGACGTTGGTGGGGCAAAGAATTTGTTCCAGACCAACTTGCAGAAACGGCATGAAGGGCGGTTTGCAAGGTATTTGGTTGAGGTGGTGGAGAGGTTTAAAACGGATCCAGCTTTAGGGAATATCAGTTTGATACACTGGAGCCGTTCAATGAGGCGTTAGAAGGGTACTGGCCATTCTGGCCATTCCCCTTTATCCAGTACCCCTCTAATGCCTCACTGAACGGCTCCAGTGTATCAAACTCGACATGACCGACGTGCAATTTCAACGTGCCCGACATGACCCGGATTATTAACAAAACCCGCAAAAATATGCAGGAAAAAAAGCTCAAGACGAAGCTGGTGGGTGTGGAAAGTTTCGTGGGCACAACAGCTCTCTGGTTTCCACTGGTCCAAGGAAAAAAAATTCTTCCACTGCATAAACGTCCACAATTACACGATATCGTTACAGCTGGTGGTGAACTTGACAGCCTCTGTCGCTGAGAAAATCTACTCCACTCGTTTTCATCGCCATGAAGGTCCTCGCGAAATCGCTCGGAAAACAAACCTGGGTGTCGAAATCTGGGCCGTTGAACAAAGTTCGGGAGCCCGTACGATCTCTCGCTCTACATGATGTGGAACGTGATCGAATCCGTGAATCTTCTGGAGACCTCTGCGTACATCTACTGGCAAGTTTTTGATCCGCACGAGGATGGACCCTGTGCGGACTAAATTGGTATTATCCATCAGGTTATATAGGTACAGTAAACCCTCCCTCGAAGCTTAAATGGGTTTGGATCTTTAAGCAGTTTACGGATGTCGTGAGGCCTGGGATGTCAACATGTATTTGTATATGTTATAGGCTAGATAGGTGCATGCTCATAGAGGGTACAGCACCATAGCACAAAACCTCCCTGTATGGCACAATCTAGTCTATTGCGTTATTATGAGATGGTATCACGCTAGGTTAGGTCCCCCTCCCCGCCTGCGTTTCCACCCCTAGCCCTAGCCCTAGCCTTAGACTGCGCCCTAGCCCACACCCTGTCACGCCGCGCTGGCCCCGTCCCGCCGCGCCGGCCCCTATCACGCCGCGCCGGCCCCGCTAGACCGTGCCGGTCTCGTCACGCCGTGGCGGCACCGTCCCTCCGCGCCGGCCCCGTCAAGCCGCATTGGCCCCGTCACGTCGCGCCGGCCCCGCTAGACCGCGCCGGCACCGTCACTCCGCGCCGGCCCTGTCACGCTGCGCCGGCCCTGCCATACAGCGCCGCGCCGTACTGCCGAGCCACTGCGCCACGCCGCCGAGCCGCTGCGCCGCGCCGCCGAGTAGCCGAGCCGTCGTGACACCGAGTTGCCAAGTCGCCGAGCCGCCGTGCTGCTATGCCGCCCTGACCTGCCGGCCCTGGTTCCCCCTTTTGTGCCAGCGCTCCCGCCGGTCGTCTCCACCGTCGCTCTCCACCGCCCTCTCCTCCTCCTCCCCTAGCGGCGGTCAGCTGCTGCAACCGTGGTGATGGCGGATGCTGTGCTCCGCTTGGATGCGGAGGGTCGGGCGATCGAATTTTGAGGCGTGGCTTGCCGACCTCCGCCGCTCACTGAGGGGACATCGCCAGGATGGCCAGTCTCTGGCTGTTCACGTCGACGGTAAGATCCCCTGCCTCGACCTGTCTGCTGCCCTCTCTGACGCCCCCACGCCCACTGAACGTGAGGCCTTTGCAACTACTGAGCTCGCTCGCTCCGTCTGGGAGTCACGTAACGCAGTTCCACAACTTGCTATCAATCGCGCCCTCCCCTTGTCTGAGCGCCCCTGCTACCAGGCCTTAGAGACTGCGCAGGTGTACTTAGATGTTGTTATTGCACGCTATTCCACTCCCTCCTCCGCCTCTGTCGGTCGTCTCCTCCTCCCCCTGCTCTTCTCTGACCTTGCGTCTTTTCCCACTGTCGCTGATCTCGCCACTCACCTGCGCGCA